GGGTCCGAACTCTACTAATACAGGTTTTACCTAGCCTAGTATCAAGCTAAACTGGGTTTATGCACAGGATATTTCATAAGTCTGCATACTGGTCCTTAGTTACTAATATGATAACTTTATAAAATCCACATGGCAATCAAAAGCACGATGAGGTCACTGTCCAGTGATTTGTTGTTTTCTCTTTGACAAATTTATGGTAAATTAATCTAATTCAAAAGGCACTGAAATAGATTAATATTTCATGATGAGAAATGTCCACAAATAGCCTACAACTTCTTACTTCACAGCTTCACTAATGACATTACTACTAAATTATTACAGTCCTAATATCTGAACTTTTGGGAAACTTCTATCTTTTAAAATAACGTAAAAAAAACCCGGGTTAAAGACCATGCTGCAGTACTCTCACTGTTTTCAGTTCAGTAGTCTATACAGTACTGTGAAGCTCCTGTCCTTGTTAATTTTATTTTTTTATTGCTGTACCATAGCAGCTAAAAAGGAACTATGCTATTTAAAGGCTATCTAATTTGGAGGTTTGTTTATTCACCTAAGACAGCTGGGAGAAGGAAGATAGTTTGCTTTTGACATCGAAGAAAACATTTCTTTTTTTGTTAATTGGGTAAAAAGGAAAAAAAAACCAACCATTGAGACTGGCTTATCTGTTGGCCAGCTGAATCACCTACCACTTCATCAGTAAGAAAGTTACAGCAATCTTCACCAGTATTCCAACAATAAAAAAATGTTAATTTTGCTTTTTGCTTGGTACTTACTATAATGTGAGATTTACTGTAATAATTTTGGTATGTTTAGTCAAATTAGACATAACAAGTGTTACAAATACTGACTACATTCTACCTAATCTCAATATAGTCAGGCAAGTGACAGTGCTACACCTCTATATGCTGCATCTCTAATTAACAATTTGTACCCCCAAAGATTTTTCAACCTAATAAAAAATTAGATAAAAAGAGGTTGACACTAATAAAAATGATGTAGTGTTAAACTAGTATTCTTATAAAAATCAATTTAAAATTACAGGTATGCTAAACAGAAGAATCCTCTTAGCTAAAAGATCAAAACAATGTTCAGAATTTAACATCTACAAAGAGTTAATGTATTTCTGTATGCCACATATATTCAAAGAACAGCACAATTGTAATTTCATGAAGTTCTCCAAAAGAAATCAGAACCTCAGAAAAATCACAGAATTTGGAAATTGTAATTTGGAGAAAATATCTGGCAGATCATGTAAATAAAACAGTATTTTACACACTATCACTAACAATATAATTAATGCCTGCTAAAATCTATTCTACTATGTTAAAGGTTACATCAATGCCTTTTTAGACATAAAGGATTCAAAGAAAAAAATGCTGGATTTTTGTTTAATCTTCTGTAGTCAAGGCTGTGCAACATAAGGTTGTTCATAATATTACTTACCTGAAAGCTGCTTGATGCCTTTGCTGAGAAATAGCAGCAAGCTGAAGTTTGGCCTCAATGAGAGCCTCTAAATCTTCAGCAGAACACCAAGATATCTCCCCATCATATTTGTCCTGTATGTTCTGCACAAGATGGCTAAGACTTTCTTCAGCTTCTGTCAGTAAAATCCCCTAGAGAAGAATACAGCATTGTATGATTTCAAAAAACAATGAAAGAAATAAAAAATTTCTTTAGAAGTATTTTATTCTGTTATAGCCTACTATCACTGCACCCTAAAACAAATCAACTTGAATACAATATGCCTTTTCTATAAATATCAGGGAGGTTTAATTTTGTTTTTTTCAGGTTTACAGATTCAACGTGTTGAAAGTAGCAACATCTTAACTGTGGCTGTACTACTGCAATTTATGCTTAACTACATATTTTATGGCTTAGCAATATTACTCACTAATTTTTCATTCTTATCTTTATCTTATAGGTATACTTCATAATTTTATACTCTACTTACTATGCTTAGTCATTTTAAACAATAAAATACAGTATTAAAAAACAACATTAAAGATGTTGCAAGAAGTTTTATATTCTTTTCTATCTATACTTTGACAGATCCTTGAGTGCAGTATGTATCCTGAAAGTTCAACTGTAATTTAGTGTCTGACAAACAAAGCTGTAAGAAGCTGTGAAAACCAAATCTAAAAGAAAGATCATTTTAAACAAGATCTCAATCATGGAGTTTTCAGTCAAATTTAAAAATAATTTGAAGGTTTGTATCATCCAATATCTTTTTTTGACCAGTTTCCTCAATGAATTCAGAGCTCTGCTTAAGAAAACAAAAGAATAGAATGGTTAAAGAAAAATCAGAAGGGCAAGAAATATATCATGTCTCTTAAACGAGCCCCATTCAAATTAATTTAACATTTCTATTTTAGTTATTTTCAAGATACTGTTTTCAAGTTATTTTCAAGCTATACTAAAACTTTCAAGTTTCTAGTGTATGGCATATACCAATTGCCATACAAAATCATCCTCCATGTCTCCATATGTATTTTGTACATTACTTTGTAACAATGGCCAAAAGTAGATACTTCCAAAGTGGAAGACCCCTCTGAAAGAAGAATATGTCAGCCCTCAATTTTGGTCTTTTTGTGATGTGAAACTGCCAAGCATGCAGTTTACAATTAAACAAAAGAAAACAAAAACTAAAACCAAAAACAAACAAACAAAACCCCTTCAAACAAAGAAGCTAATAAGCTCGGGTATGTTTTCTCCAAAAGAAACTATCAGAAACAGGAACATGAAAAATTTGAGACATTTCATGTATGGTAGAGAATGGTTTTCCATTTCTTTGTAGAGCATACTGCCCCATCAAAGAGTCTCTGACACGTTCTACAGGTGTCACCCTCTGAAAGGAGATGATTTTATCCTTAAAATCCCATTCAGTCTTTACCCTTGTTGCTGAAACAGTCACACTGAGACTTGATTGTGACAATATTTCCCATGGACATTTATATAGCATAAACTAGACCATTTGAAAAACTGTACCAAACCACCAGGACTTCATGTACAGCTAGTAAGATTACAATCAGATTCAAAACAGAAATTTCTAGTCCCCTTATTCATGCCATCCTCCCATCATAATTTCTGTTACATTGAAAGCATTAGCAATGTTTTTGGAACAATCTGCAGTTTCTTAAGCCTTTTTTCCTAAAAAGCAAAATTACCTTCAGCATGGCCATATTTAATTCATCTTTACAGTCAACGAGCTGCACCATTGTGTCTCTTTGTTCCTGTTGTCTTGAATTCTTATCAGCATCAACTGTCAAATACATTTCAGATGAAATTTCAGATAACAGACGCAGAACCAAAGCATTCTCAGTAATTTGAAGAATATGGCCCTTTTTTCTCTATTTATAATTGGGACTTTCAATATCAAAATAAGTGAGGAAGAATGGAATACAGCTCTAATAATATCAGAGATATTAGCTAAAAAACCCTTGAGAAATCTTAATGCTTATTATTTCAATAATGACTGATTTTTCCAGCAACACTTAATATGAATATTGTTTAGAATATGACACGTTAATGCATATGCAGTTAGAAGTGGAAATACTATGCTTGAAACAAGTTGCAGAATAAATGCACTTTTCCACCACCTTTATACTTTTACATTTTTACATTACCTTTTACATTTGACGCTGTAATTCTGCTTGGCTCCTTCAAGTTGTTGTTATCAACAGAATAGACATGTTTTTCCACTTTTTCAGGTATATTATTTATTGTGGCAGAAAGGCAAATGATGAGATGCATTTTGGCTAAGGTTAATTTATTCATAATTTGTTGGTTGCACAGTGGCACCATTGTTAAAGACAGACTCCAATTAAATATGTCTTCCAGTACCTACAAGACAGTTAACAATTGGGACTATCTGAAATTACATATTTTACGTTTTTCTTGTTCAAGGCATATTCTGCTTCTATTAATAATGATGTTTATCAACAATTAACATGAAAAATATTAGTAATATGCTCTTAGACATTATGGATGAGTTGCTGTTTTCCTTTCCAAACTTAATTTACCCCTTAGTAGCACTTGCTATAGCCTCAGTGATCAGTTTTCCAGTAGAAGGTGCATCTATGAAGATATAGCTATTACTCTGTGAGTTCTAGTTTTCTGCATTGTCCATAGCACTCTTTGAGCTAAGGTTGTCACAAAAAATATGTAGCTAAATGTGTAGTTCAGAAATCTCAACTCAAAGGAAAGTCTGTTGTTACAATTCACCCTAACTAGAAAGATTAAGCAAGGAAAAAAATTATTGTATCAGACCATTCTAGCATATTTCATAGAATCTTTTTGTTATTCATTACAGCATCCTTGTTTTATCTTGAGTTTAATATTCTCACTTTAGATTAATAAATTTAGATGTTGAAGTCTACACAGCTTTGCAAAATCATAAAGAGACCAATAAGAGATCCATATAGACTGTGAAGTGTTCAAATTAAAAGCTCAAGATAAAGCACAACTTCAAAATAAATCTGAAACTAGTGAAATCAAAAGCTGTCAAGATAGACATCTCATTTCTGTCTTCTAATATCGACTGTTGTAGGAGATACACAAGCTTACTGTAAACAAAAGAGAGAAAAGTGGAGGAAGAAAGTGGGTTTTTTCTATTTTATCAGTTTGTTTTTATGGTACAGTTTCTTTTCCACATTCTGCTAACATTTACCCCTACTGGCTCAAGGGATCTGTGACAAGGAAAATGAAAGAAAATTATTAAAACTGAAAAACAAAAAAGAAGTAATTGACAAACATGTGATTTTAATTAAAATGAGAAATGACCGTTCATTAACTGGTTTACAGATTCACTCCCCCGCCCCCCGCCCCAGAAATGGACTTCAACCCCAATCTGAATTAGGACAAATCTATGAAGACAGGTCTGATTGATAGAAATTATAAGGCTGGATGACTGATGTTCTCGGTATTTTAGCAGGATAAACACCAGACCCTACATATCATGACAAAACCTGAATAATTCTACTAGTATGCTTTGCATAGACAAGTCACAGATTTGTACATATTAAGTCTCCCATCTGAAAAATGATGATAATGGTACTTGCCTCTCCCTTGAGAGGTCAGCCATAAAATTTATAGGTTAGGAAATGTTAAACTGTTGAGGAGAGTATGTTTTCTATTTACTGTTTTTTACTAACAAGAAGTATATTTTCTGAACCAAATAATCTCTAACCAAGTAATTTCTCTGCCAGAGAAATAAATATTTATGTCTAACATAAAATTTTTAGCTCTTTCAGATTTTTTTTACCTGTAAATTTGTAACAGTCAGGAGAGATTCTGAGGAGTCAAATTTCTGTAAGGCCTGTAAAATGGACAAAACCAAAAATAAGTAATGTGTTACAATATGAGTATAAAATAAGTGAGTTAGTTAGCAGAGCAGTGGACAAGTGTAGTGCATTTCCAACTATACTTTGAGGGCTCTAAAAATACTAACAATTACTTGGCTTCTACAGGCTTTACATTTCTGAAACATAAACCAAGACCCAGAACTATCCCTACACCTCCTATGCCATTCACCAGGATTATTCAACTTGAAGCAAGGGGAGAAAAAGGCATAAACCAACAAAAATCCTCTTCCAAATTCTAGGAGCTCTATAGACACCAACCATCAATTGCCTTTATGTTCTTTACATTTCTGAATCCCAAACCTAACTCCAGACTTAGCACATGCCTCCTCTGCTATTCACCAGAGCCCAGATCTGTGAATGGAACAAAAGCAAGAGCTACAGGTCAAGATGAACTTGAGACCTCAGCCTCCTTGAGGGCTCTAAAAACAACTATTTCTTTGCTTATACGTGCTTCAATTTTCTGAACCCTAACCGTCCTTGAGTCCTTGCTCAAAAACTCTTTACCTGTTCACTAGGAGACAAATCAGTCTACAGAGGAGAAGGAAAAGGCAGAGGTAAAGATCATCTCCAGCCTTCATCATAACTGAGAGCTCTACACACAACTGTCACTCAGGCTCTACGTGGTTTTTATTAACTCTTTTATTAACTCTATACTCCAGAAGTAGCCCTCTATCATCTCTCTCATTCCCTGGAACACGGGTCCTTCTTATTCTGAGAGCTGTGCAAAAGTCCAGCAAGCACTTAGCTTCGACATGTGTCACACCCTAACCAGAGACCTAATGCTGAACGTCCTCTGCTGTTCACCCTGTCATGGTTTAAACTCGGCCAGCAACTGAGCACCACACAGCCACTGCCCCAGTGGGATGGGGGAGAGAATCGGAAGAATAAAAGTGAGAAAACTCGTGGGTTGACATAAAAACAGTTTAATAATTGAAATAAAATAAAGTAAAATAGTAATAATAGTAATAATAATAGTAGTAACAATAGTAATAGTAGTAGTAGTAGTAGTAGTAAGAATAATAATAAAAATTAAAAAAAAAGAATATACCAAGCAAGTGATGCATGATGCAATTGCTCACCACCTGCCGACCGATGCCCAGCCAGTCCCTGAGCAGCAGCCCCCTTGGCCAGCTTTCCCCAGTTTATATACTGCGTATGACGTCACATGCTATGGAATATCCCTTTGGCCAGTTTGGGTCAGCTGTCCTGGCTGTGCCCCCTCCCAGCTTCTTGTGCACCTCCAGCCTTCTCAGTCAGTAGAGCATGGGGAGCTGAAAAGTCCTTGACTAGTGTAAGCACTATGTAGCAACAACTAAAACGTCGGTGTGTTATCAACATTATTCTCATCCTAAATCCAAAACACAGCACTGTACCAGCTACTAGGAAGACAATTAACTCTATCTCAGCCAAAACCAGGATAACCCGAACACTTACCTGTGAACCCAGTTGGAAAAAGACAGTGACAAATCAACCAGACCTCATCTTAACTCTGTGAGCTCTTCAGACAATATACAAATTAAGGAAAAGACTTAAAGATGCATTTTAACCTGACTAGAATCATAGAATCATTAAGGTTGGAAGAGACCTCCAAGATCATCAAGTCCAACCATCATTGACTAGCATCAATAAGAAGTAAATGCATTCCTTACTGTAGCCATGAACAGGGAAGCTTTGCAGAACCAACTCCAGTGAGGATGCTGATAACTCCTTATGGCTCAACCTAATGAGAATGTAATGTAGCTTGTGCTCTGAGGAAAATCACTGGATTTCAGCTTCTTATCTTCCCATGCAGTTAGTATGAAAGTGTCATTGGCAAATTAAAAAGGTCATCTTTTTTGAGAAATATTTTAATTTTACTTTTTATTAAGTTCATGTTTCATTTAAAACCTAATACCCACTGCAGATTATTCTAGGAGGAGTGCTTGTCCATATTTCTGTTTTTTTAAATGTAAACATTTTACATTCTATCATAAATGTAATTATAATTAGTCCCTTATTAATTAGCTTAGACATTGATTTGTTGGCTATTGCCAAAAAAGATACTGCAGCTCTGTGCTGGTTATAGCCATTTTGAGGCTGCAAGGAAAGGACAGTGAGGCCATGGGTCAGCTGGAAACTCCCTCTCAGGGTTTGGGGAGGTGGGAGGGGGGAATTTCCCTTCAAACAGCTCATTAAACTCAATTTGCTCTGCAGTGCCAGCTTCACTGTCTACAACACAAGGTAAGGGAAGCAAATGTGAAGTCATGGGGGTGGGTTAGGAATTCCCCTTTCAGCACCAGCCTGTAATTATCACCAGATTAGAAATATCATCCTATTACATGTATAGAATGTGGCTGTACAATCAAGTTAAATCCATGCTGCTGTCAAAACGGGTGTCCCTACCTGTCCCACTAGTCTTCTATCACACGTTCAGTCCAGCTCCCTAGTGCTGGCACACATACTTTGTCGTGGGGTAACACCTACCCAAAAGCACCACTCAGATAAGGGAGACCTTGACTACATCCGTCCAGCATAACTCATTAGATTATTTTGGTATGTGCTTGGAAAACCAGGAAAGGCTACATAACTGTTACGGGGAAATAGCTCTGGACTGTATCTGCCTGCACAGGTATGCTCACAGGTAAGACAAAGAAGCCCAGGTCAACTGTTAACAGCTTCATAACCTTGTAGCACATTAGTGATCAAGGTAAGATCACTACTTGGCTTTAGATATGGAGAAAATCAAAGAGATTGACCTGGGGTGACATGACTGTCAAGGCTCTGAGGATACCAATAGCTCTTACTGCCCAGCACCTCCTGGGGCTCCCCCCACCCTGCCTACAGCCCAGGACCCCATGTCAGACCCCCAGGGCCATCAGCCCCTGCCCCAGCGACGCCACAGCAGAGCGGGTCTACAGCTCCCCACAGCCCTGCCCTGCCACGGGCCCCCCATGCTGGGCCCACCTGTGGGCTCAGATCCCGGCCCAGCCTTGGCCAGACTCCACGGCCCTGTGTGGCCATCCTGGGGCTGTGTCTGAGCCCAGTTCTCCTCAACAGGCCTGATCCTGACCCCTACCCGCAGGCTGCTGTCACGGCCCAGCCTCGGCCTGTCCCCGGCCCCACAGAGGTGCCCAATGCCTTGGGCTGGGGGCTGCCCCGTCTGCCCCTTAGCTGCCCTGCTCCTGGCTGGGGCAGTGGGAATTTTGCCATTAATGGGGCAAGAACTCTATCCATATTTTTTATGTCTACATATGAAATCACACATTACTTTTTCAACAGTATTGTCTACATTACCCACTGTATAAAACAGGCAGCACATATGTTTCAAAATTTATTTTTGTTCCTGCTGTTCAGTGAGAGAAATTAATGTCACTCAATGCCTACTATTTGACCCGCTTATTGAAAGAAATTTAGGAAATTTTTTGGAATGTGTAATAACTTGCAGACATGGAGTATGTGCAGCTTCATAAAGAGAATTGAGTGTTATAATTCAACGTTATACTTTACTGGTGTTTACCTTCATTTGTTCAATTTTTCTGTATCCTGCAGGTATTTTCCATGGAATTCTCTCTCCACAGTTAAGCAGAGACAGTTCATGAAAGGCCTCCGTAAAAAATCCTATATCTGAAAGTACTTTAATCTGTGGAAAAATAACAGAGCCTTTGATTTAAATAATTTTCAATTATTCTTTTTGCTCAAAATAAAATGTATTCAAAGGTAATTTTCAAGTAGATCTGGCTACTGGAATAGTATATTGATGAAGAATGTTCTTCAATGGAAAGAAATATTTTACATTTTATAGTAAATAAGTGAAATCTCAAAGATGCATCTTTCACTTTTAAAAACAAAAATTAAAAAAAACCAAAAACATATTCTTCAAAAACTTGCTCCTGACAAAGGAAAAGAACTTAATTCATCTGGCTAGAGCTTTGAGTGTCAGTCCAAGATCAGCCCCTTAGCAAAATCTGTTTCATAGATTTTACTCAACTTAGTCTCGTAGTACTCAGCTACTCTCCCTAAGCCATATCAGCATTTCCTGAAAATATCTAAAACCAATAATACTTCGACTCTTACTACAAGTTAATTCCTTTAAAAAAAAAAAAACAAGGGATTAAAAAAATCCAAAACAAAACCAACAAGCAAACATTAGTGAAATGACAAAAGTCTGTTCCCAGAAGTCTGACAACCTGGTTCCACTGTAATACTGATAACAAATCCAGAAGTGAACATTATGAACAAAAATCATTTATGTTTTGCACTTAAGAAAACATTTAAAAGATAAAAATTACCAAGTAAAAAGTTTTGATCTAAGAGGAAAAATCTTATGATCATATCTTTAAGGAGGATGCTTGTTAAATGGAGAGCAGAAAGACATCATGAAAGTACTTAACAGTCTCTGTAGGACATTAACAGTAAAACTGTATAAATAACTCTACATCCTACTAACATTAAGAATATAAATAATAATTTCATTTAGAAAGTAGTCCTACTCTACAATCTGTTGTGCTAAGAAACACTAAACAACAGCTGAAGTTTAAAGCATTACTTTTCATAGTAGTGATATATGAAGAAATATCAAATCGAAATGTTTAAATATAAAGTTGATTTGAAATACAATGTGCTGTGATAAAAAAAGTCTGATTACCTTGAAGATTCTTCCTTCAATACATTTAGCTGGGTCCTTACAAATCTCAGAAACAAAGTATTGGTATAATGTGAACAACGGTAAAATCTGTAGGAAAATATTAGGTCATCTAGTTATAAATTTCATAAAGGGTACAATTACAGAAATGTACATTGCAATTATATATTACAAATATACAGATAATATAGGAGTACTGCTTTCACTGCCACATACCACCACTACTTCTTTTATGCTCTGTGAAGAATGAATGTGTTAAAAATTTCTTCAGCTGGCTCAAGCTAACCCCTGATACTATCTTATATGTGATTCACAATATAGAAAGTGAAGTTT